ACCCTGAAGGTCCGTATAAATGCCTAGGCTCTCTTTACCTTGCCCAACTTTTTTCGAAAAAGTGTATCGTTGGAATTGTTTACCCTTATTTTAGGATTCTTCACATTTTCCCAAAAAATGCTTTCCCAAATCTGAGATTTTGGGTTCAATGGATGGTAAAGGTTACAAAAGCTCCGCTGAATTAGCCGCTACGCCCAAAAACTTTACACAAAAGTTATCGCCCTTAAAACTGTCAAATGTTCAATTTTTGACATTTTTTTAAAAAAATTTTCGACTTGTCTGGAAAACTGAGGTTTTGGTTTCATGGCGTAGAACGGGTTGTGGCTAGCTCATCTGCAGACACGGTTACGCCAAAAAAATTTTTAAACAATAATGTATGATCCTCGAAAATGTCAAGTTTTCTAGTTTTGACCGTTTTCTGAAACTTTTTGACTTTTCTCTGAAATTACTCTCCCAACTCTGAGGTTTTGGTTTCAGTTGGTGGCCGGTTTTTGGGAAGTTCCCTTCATACGCCAAAATTTTTTCATGCAAAGAATAGTAACCCCATCGAAAGTCATTGTTTTGGTTTCTAGTGCGATTTTTTGAAACTTTTGGACTCTTCTCGAAACAACTCAACCTGATATAAAGAGTTTAATCATCTAGGCAACAGGTTGTGAGGAGCCTCCGTGCCCAAGATACTAATGTTCAACAAAATTTTGTTCAGAAAATTCCAAAATTACAAACGTTTCACTCATATTTTAATAGAGCAATAACTATCTTTTGGGTAAAGCTCAAAATTCACATTTTTGAAGTTATCTATCGCATCTCGCACCAGAACAACAAAATCAAAAATGATCAGAAAAGTAATTCATGCATTAGCTGGGCCTCTGGTCTCTTAGAAATCAAAGACACCATCTCAGCAAAAAATGATTTCTATCGGCTGTAACCAGAAAAATTGAAAGCACTGCATTATAATCAATTAAAACGGAACTGTTGCTTTTCTGTGAGCAATAAAGTCCATTATAATCCATTAAAACTGAATACAACAAGTTATCAATTTTTTTTTGAAATTGCTTCGAATTTTTCAAAAAGGGTGAAGTACAGTATATTCAGTTCTTGACAATTGGTTGATAATTGCACCTATTGCATTATATGAATTCAAATACACGCCTATTTTAATGTTTTTTGGTTCTCACTTTTGCTGATCTTTACTTACCTTCCTTGAGTGAACAGATTTCTTAGTAAATGGAAAAGATGACCTCTCACATCGTGCAATTTTCGTCAACTAATGCAGACTTTTTGAAAAAACGTTTAAAAAATTTTCACACTTTTCACCATAAAATCTGTTTTTATCGCCTTAAAATCCCCAGAAAATCGATTTAAAAATATTACTCACTGAAAACAGGAACTTTTGTCATAAATTGGGTTTGTCGAAATTTCAATATTCATTGAAAAACTCAATAAAAACCTGTGAAAATTTCGACGAATATATTTTCGAATATAAAGTTTTGACAAAAATTTGACGAATATGGAAAATCCGACACGTTAAGAAAAGGTAAACATTGATGAAAAAATTAATAGAAAACAATCAAAGATTGCAATTTTAGATTAACTAAACAATAACAGTGAAAGAAATTTAACGCTAACCCGCTTATTACATGTTGGCAATGCTTCAATTTTTTAATCGTATTTTTTGATTTATCAAATTTTTGGCTTAAAACATGTAATTTAAACTGTATGAGTTCAAGGGAAATTTTTTTCTCTTTAATAAAATGAAGAAACTGTGGATATCGTTGACTGAAAGTCCGACGACCAGAAGCGTTTGTTGTGCTTAAAACTCGTCATCTTGTATGCCAGACTCCCAATAGGATGCCTTGAAGGGTCTGACTATCGCATAGACTGTCAAACAAAGGTTTGACAAACAAAATGATGAAATAATCTAAAAATGTAGTAAGCTTATGAACATTTTAGTCAAGGTTCAACAAAAAATTATCGCCTAGTAAAAATCAATTAAGTTATTTGTGTGTTTTAGAAAAACTCTGCTTGAAGCGCACAAGGTATCGCTTACGAGAAGCTCAACTGTACTTGATTACTGCAACCTGATTGGTGTTAACTTTCTGTGTAGCTTTGGGCTTTCGTATATTTTAGCCGAAAAATTGAATAAAAATTGTATTAAATTAACAAATCTTGATCCATACCACTACAATATATCACCAGCGGCCTATTTTTTTTCAAAATTTTGACTGCGACGCAGAAAACTTAGCCATAAAAGGGTCTTTATGATTTATAAGAGCTCGGAAAATCAGTTTGGTGTACGTAAAAAAAAAGTCGATAAAATTTTTCAAATTTTTTGAATACCCCTCCTCGAGAAAATCCAAGATCTCACCTGCCTTAAGCAGCAATGATACCTTGCTCAATTTCAAAACAATACAATTGATCAGACCTTTTTTTAATACAGGTTGAAAATTCTTTAGCGTGGCTAATTAGAAATTTTGCGCGAGTGAATTGGGTTTTTGATGGGTAAATTAAACCTGTAGCATTTCTAAATTTGGAGTTTGGCTGTACTAAAAGAGATGTTGTACAACTAACATAAGGCCTTGGTGCGATTATGTCAAAATTTTGGTTCAACCAAACGATATCATCGACGCGACTAAAGTAAGGGTTCGGCACTGCTATACTATGACTTTGGCTTCGGTGCGACTTAGAGAAAACTTTGACTCGATTAGTAAAAAAAAATTGAGCAATGAAGATAAGATTTTGGTGCGAATAAGTCAGAAATTTCAGTGAGTCTGTGTTTTTGTCGATGCGACTCTGACAATAGTTTGGCATAAGTAATTTCAGACTTTCGCCCGAATTCTATAAGTTTGGCGCGTGTCGGCTGCGTGATTCTAGCAACTAGTTTCAGGTTTCTGTAGAGCTAAGATATGACTTCCGCGCGACAACCATAACCCTTTGGTTCGAGATAGATCCGTGACTTTTTGCGTGACTTAAATACGACTTTCGCGAGATTGAGTTAGGCGTTTGATCGAAGAATTTGAGAGCTGAAGCGAATAAACTGCTAAAATCAAGGCATTAAAACGGAAGAAGGTCCACTAACGGTAAGCAGTCTTTTCGAATCTCAAGTCTTTTCGAATTTCAACCGGGAAGAGTCTTTCTTTTTTTCAATCACTCAACATGCCTGATTTTTGAGTATCTTTGAAATACTACAAGAAAAATGCCTCATTGCTTAATCTATCCATACTACTATGAACCATTTGTGATCACTTTTTACTTCAAAGAATAATTTTTCTCCTCTTTTTAGGCACAGAAACACAGTCAGAGTTTTAAAATACTTTTGAAAAACAAGTGCATCTAAATTAATATGATTGATTTTTGTCCCCCTTAAAAACATCTAAATTGAATATAAAAGTGACAATTTAGGCATGTTGATAACATCTAATTTTTCTTCGTCTGGATAACCTTTATTGTCCCTTTATTCAGCCTTACGCCACATTATTTCACAGAATTAATAATCTTAACAGTTTCTGAGTTGATCAAAATTTGTTAATTTTAATTTGCTATGTTCTTTAATACCTCAAAACGGTTGGTACAAGCACCAAAAGTTGGATCTACAAAGTATTAGAAGCTTGAACTATTTTTGCTGGCTGCTTACATATCTCTAGCATTAAAAAATGATTACGAGGCAAAACTGCGAGTTTTGTGAATTTTAAGCATATACCGCAACAGACCAGAAACAGAATTGATGCAGAATCTGCATTCTTGCTACTTTTCTTTGATTGTCATTGCTGCTTTGAATTCCAGGGACAAAAAACTAAAAATCTGTATTGCTGAAAATTGCTCCCAAAGTAGGCGATTGTGGAATCCGCAACAAAATTTAAGGAATATTGCACAGTTTGTCGAATCGACAAGCAAATAATAATTTTTATGTTTTGTAAACTTAAGCTTTTGTGGAATCCGCAAATTGTGAGTGGATCCAGCAAATTGCGAGTGAATCCGCGAACTGTAATAGGGGTCTGTTTAAAATTGCGGAATCAATTTAGAGTTGCGAAACCCAGAACAACTAGCTAAATACGCTCGTTGCGAAATCCGCATTAAAATTGATGTGCCGACTAAGATTATGAAACAAATATTTGTACGAGGTGTCCATAGAGTTTTTGATAGTGGAATCTACCTACAATTTGGACAATCTTTAAAGACTTGTCTCTGGACTCCACTGACTTAGAGACACCAATTTGAGCGCTTATCCAGATCGCAGTTTCATCTCGTAATGAAGATCTTTTTTTTTGCTACTCAAACTTTTAACAAATGATTCAAAGCTGCACTGCATAATTAATTCCAACTTCTGTAGTATAAGTACTAAGACAATTTTATTTTGATAAAAATATAGGACTTAACTGATTTGAAAAGCAGATACAAGATGAAACGTTTGATATCAAGAGCATATTTGATGCTTAGCTTGTTCAACCAAAAAGGGTCTGTTTTATTGATTCAATTTATTGATCAATTTTTTTGATCAAACAAAACCATAAATAAGCGATAGAAAAGAAGCAGATGCGTCTAAAAACGGGCTGCAAAAATTCCACTATACTAATTTAGTTTTGTTTGCAAATGTTCTTGTAAATGTAATAAAAATTGTGTCCTAATTCCTAAATTGTGTCCTAAATATTAATTACTAACTTTAATATTTTATCATAAAGATTAGTTAACCCATTGGAAGCATGCTTTTTTGTTTTCCAAAAAAAATACGACAAGTTGCGTTTTGTAGAAATTTTTATGGGCTCACATCATCGACCAGGTTAGTTTCATCAGCATCACTGGGTTGAAACAAATCGAAATAGTTACAAAAAGAAAAACCTATTGGAAAACGTTTTTATGAACTATTGAACCATACGAAAGGTCATTACCTTTGAAATTTGATTGGATCAGGTTGAATTTGTGAAAATAATCTAATTCTAGATGACAGAAATCTACGCAACCATGGAAATATGGAAACATCTCAGTGGATTACCAAAACATAACTCTTTTCAGTTAAAACTTTTTCATTCGATGTCTTTTTCTCAATTTATGATCTTGTTTGTTGGATATCGCAAGGTGTGGAACAATTGAAACATAAATAATCAACAATAAAAATTTCAGTATTATGCAAAATATAATATCTAATAAAAATATTAAAATATCAAAAATAGAAAATTTAAAAAATGATTTTCGTTTCTTTTTCTTCAAACTTCGTCGGCTTGATTAAGACTATTGGTCTCTAATCCAGCCATAGAATGCTTCCTGTTTAGCTTCTTCAGGTGCTTTCTGTGCTGTAGTCTGGCCCTGTTTACAACTGTGTAGCATCTAAATAAATTAACCAATGATACATTTTACTAGTTATATTTAACAAGTCTTCATTCGGCGCGCTTTTTTCGAAAAAAATTCCATTAAATTTTAAACTTCAGTTGGGATCGATGCTAAATTGCCGGATGCAAAAATAAAGCATAAGACCATTTTATTACGCGTAAATGATGTGATTTTTTTATTCTATCTATTTTTTTGTTTCCGCAAAAACTGGGACAGAACTTTGTGTAAGGGCGAGTTTTCTGAATGCCTACTATCTCATAGAAACCTCGTAGAGTTTGAGTGTGGTATCATAAGCGCTTCCAGTTTTATTTACGATTCCAAAAAGAGAAGTAAAAAAAGTTAAATCAATGGCGAGAAAATTGGTACGAATATACTTACGCTTTTCAGACTCCATTTTCATTTATCGCGGTGGAGAGGAATATAGCTCATTAAATTTAATTAGTGGGGTCGGCATTCAAAACTTGCTACTTAGAGCAAGTTTAAACATACTGAGATTGTTTTCATTTCAGTCTCAACTTCAATTTGCTTTTTTTACCCAATAAAACGTCCTAAAAATCCGTCAAATTTTTTTCCGTTTTTTTTAGTGATTGGAACATTCTGTGATGTTTAAACAGGAACTGGTTACCACTAACTTAATGAAAATAACAACCAATAAAAGTCTTTTGACTTTGCAAGTATACAATGGTGACTAAACAATGGTTCAAAAACCTAACCAACCTTTCTAGGCCTAGTAGCACTGCGCAAAGGAGCATGGCCAGCGACCACACACTATACTCGGAGAATTTGTCAACTATTGTCACATTTCCATCGAGCCAAGCAAAATTGATCCTAGTTTGACCCCTGATCACGTTCTCAGTTGAACCACTCTGAAAAGTCAAAACCAAAGCCGTACTATCTGTTAGCTGAATACATTTTTTAAAATTGACTATCCTTTTTTGCATTTTCTCAGTGCAGTTGCAATGGTGATTTAATGCACTTTAAGGGTTATATAGATCACGAAGTGCTATATCGTGCGACTGGTCTTTGAAGAAGATGGTTTTGCCAAAGAAATTATTGCATCAATCAAAAACGAGGAACTGAAATAAAAACCGATCAGAGCCCTGAAATACGCTTCGAATACCAGTCGTTTTTTATTTGCCTTTTCTATCGAAGTTATTATTGCGATCGATCCGTCGATGAGGGAGGTTTGTCATTTATTGAATGATCGTTTTTCTGATTCGAAATCTGAAAACCTATATTTTTATGATTTTCCTAACCATAAATCAACGACTTGTCACATCATCTCATTCCCATAGTGCCTATTTAGGGTTGTTCTGATGCCAATAAATTTTCCCAAAACTGTCCAAAGCTGATTGATTTTCATGTTTTACTAAACAATCTGATTTGCTAAATTACGAGTTCTGAAAAAAATTAGATGATTTTGATAGCCATTCGAATTCATTATTCAGTATAAAAGAATGAAAATCAATCAGCTTGAGACGGTTTTGGGACATTTCTTGGGAAATTTTAGGAAAACCATAAAAATGTAGCTTTTCAGTAACAAATTGAAAAAAAGTGTAGCAAAATTGTCAGGGATAGTTAGGGAGATTAGCAAAATTTTGCTGAATTGTCGGATATCGACTTATAAAGCAGATTATTTTTATAGAGCAGCAGGTGGCGCAGATTTTGAATCACTCGACATTCTGCCCGTGATATCATCTACTCACAAGTACGTCGATGGTGGATGAGTTGAGTTTGTGTTGGACGTAGAGTTCTGTCTTCCTCAGCTGGAGACTGCTGTAGAAGTTGCAGTGCACCCACACCTGCACCTCATTCAGGAAGGAACTGTTCACCAACTGCAGACGCTCGGGCTTACTCATCCTACGGTGTTAATAAGTGAAAAAAAACAGTCATTGCAAAATTATAGGGTTGGTGATCATTGGAGGAGGTTTTGTGAAACATTCAAAACTGCGTTTTTTAAATATAAATTTATTTGTTATGAGAGTTAAATTTGTTGTAGCTGTTCTTACTTAATCCATGTGTTTTTGATCTGTTCGAATGGTTGCATAAGGATGACGAATGTGAATCCGACCACTGGGTCACGTGGGTGGTCGCAGATGAGCACCTCCCTCTGAGAAGCACCCCAGTTCACTGGAGTCTCCATCAAAATCGCATCTAAAATCAAAATGAAACAAAGATAGCCATGTTTCATCAATCAGTTTGATAACACGAAAAGGTGAATTTATAAAAATAATAAATAACGGTGGTTTTTGCGATTCGATTCGGCTATGATTGAACGCGGTATTTTCACCCTGTTCGAAGTGCTCATTTTGTGTTTTGACCGTCTCGACCGAATGTCTGTGCGTTTCGTCTGTGCTCGACCCCAGCCGTGCTCGATCAAAAAAAATGTGTTTATACTGTGCTCGACCAAAAAAATGTTCTGACCCGAGCAAAATATGTTTATACTGTGCTCAACCGTGCTCCACCCAATCAAAGTATGTTTCAAAGTTTCAAGCGTGCACGAAAAAAAATACATAGATACTGAACTATTTTGCCATTTGCGTCTGTTTTACAGTTTTGCGAGCAAAAAAAAATCCGACTAAAAAAAAAATTTTCTCAATCTGCTTACTTCAAGTTTTGACTGTGCTCGAGATATGTTTCAACCGTGCTCGAGGTAGGTTTCGAATGTGCTCGAGGTATGTTTCGACTGTGCTCGATGTATGTTACAACTGTTCTCGAGGTAGGTTTCGAATGTGCTCGAGGTATGTTACAACTGAGCTCGAGGTAGGTTTCGAATGTGCTCGAGGTATGTTTCGACTGTGCTCGATGTATGTTACAACTGTTCTCGAGGTAGGTTTCGAATGTGCTCGAGGTATGTTACAACTGAGCTCGAGGTAGGTTTCGAATGTGCTCGAGGTATGTTTCGACTGTGCTCGATGTATGTTACAACTGTTCTCGAGGTAGGTTTCGAATGTGCTCGAGGTATGTTACAACTGAGCTCGAAGTAGGTTTCGAATGTGCTCGAGGTATGTTTCGACTGTGCTCGATGTATGTTACAACTGTTCTCGAGGTAGGTTTCGAATGTGCTCGAGGTATGTTACAACTGAGCTCGAGGTAGGTTTCGAATGTGCTCGAGGTAGGTTTCGACTGCGCGCGGTATGTTACAACTGTGCTCGAGGTAGGTTTCGACAGTGCTCGAGGTCTCTTGCAACCGTGCTCGAGGTAGGTTTCGACTGTGCTCGAGGTATCTTTCAACCGTGCTCGAGGTATGTTTCGACTGTGCTCGACGTATGTTACAACTGTGCTCGAGGTAGGTTTCGACTGTGCTCGAGGTATCTCTCAACTGTGCTCGAGGTATGTTTCGACTGTGCTCGAAGTAGGTTTCGAATGTGCTCGAGGTATGTTTCGACTGTGCTTGATGTATGTTACAACTGTTCTCGAGGTAGGTTTCGAATGTGCTCGAGGTATGTTACAACTGAGCTCGAGGTAGGTTTCGAATGTGCTCGAGGTATGTTTCGACTGTGCTCGATGTATGTTACAACTGTTCTCGAGGTAGGTTTCGAATGTGCTCGAGGTATGTTACAACTGAGCTCGAGGTAGGTTTCGAATGTGCTCGAGGTATGTTTCGACTGTGCTCGATGTATGTTACAACTGTTCTCGAGGTAGGTTTCGAATGTGCTCGAGGTATGTTACAACTGAGCTCGAAGTAGGTTTCGAATGTGCTCGAGGTATGTTTCGACTGTGCTCGATGTATGTTACAACTGTTCTCGAGGTAGGTTTCGAATGTGCTCGAGGTATGTTACAACTGAGCTCGAGGTAGGTTTCGAATGTGCTCGAGGTATGTTTCGACTGTGCTCGACGTATGTTACAACTGTGCTCGAGGTAGGTTTCGACTGTGCTCGAGGTATCTCTCAACTGTGCTCGAGGTATGTTTCGACTGTGCTCGAAGTAGGTTTCGAATGTGCTCGAGGTATGTTTCGACTGTGCTCGATGTATGTTACAACTGTTCTCGAGGTAGGTTTCGAATGTGCTCGAGGTATGTTACAACTGAGCTCGAGGTAGGTTTCGAATGTGCTCGAGGTAGGTTTCGACTGCGCGCGGTATGTTACAACTGTGCTCGAGGTAGGTTTCGACAGTGCTCGAGGTCTCTTGCAACCGTGCTCGAGGTAGGTTTCGACTGTGCTCGAGGTATCTTTCAACCGTGCTCGAGGTATGTTTCGACTGTGCTCGACGTATGTTACAACTGTGCTCGAGGTAGGTTTCGACTGTGCTCGAGGTATCTCTCAACTGTGCTCGAGGTATGTTTCGACCGTGCTCGAGGCATGAATCAACTGAGCTCGAGGTATTTTTCAACCGGCTCAAGGTATGTTTTCAACCATACTCGAGGTATGTTTTGACCGTGCTCGATGTATCTTACAGCTGTGCTCGAGGTAGGTTTCGACTGCGCTCGAGGTATCTTTCAACCGTGCTCGAAGTATATTTTGATTGTGCTCGAGGTATATTACAACTGAGCTCGAGTTATGTTACAACTGTGCTCGAGCTATGTTTCAACCGGCTCAAGGTATGTTTCAACCATACTCGAGGTATGTTTTGACCGTGCTCGAGGTATGTTTCGACCGTGCTCGAGGTATGTTTTGACCGTGCTCGAGGTATGTTTCGACCGTGCTCGAGGTATGTTTCGACTGTGCTCGAGGTATGTTTCGACTGTGCTCGAAGTAGGTTTCGAATGTGCTCGAGGTATGTTTCGACTGTGCTTGATGTATGTTACAACTGTTCTCGAGGTAGGTTTCGAATGTGCTCGAAGTAGGTTTCGAATGTGCTCGAGGTATGTTTCGACTGTGCTTGATGTATGTTACAACTGTTCTCGAGGTAGGTTTCGAATGTGCTCGAGGTATGTTACAACTGAGCTCGAGGTAGGTTTCGAATGTGCTCGAGGTATGTTTCGACTGTGCTCGATGTATGTTACAACTGTTCTCGAGGTAGGTTTCGAATGTGCTCGAGGTATGTTACAACTGAGCTCGAGGTAGGTTTCGAATGTGCTCGAGGTATGTTTCGACTGTGCTCGATGTATGTTACAACTGTTCTCGAGGTAGGTTTCGAATGTGCTCGAGGTATTTAACAACTGAGCTCGAAGTAGGTTTCGAATGTGCTCGAGGTATGTTTCGACTGTGCTCGATGTATGTTACAACTGTTCTCGAGGTAGGTTCGAATGTGCTCGAGGTATGTTACAACTGAGCTCGAGGTAGGTTTCGAATGTGCTCGAGGTATGTTTCGACTGTGCTCGACGTATGTTACAACTGTGCTCGAGGTAGGTTTCGACTGTACTCGAGGTATCTCTCAACTGTGCTCGAGGTATGTTTCGACTGTGCTCGAAGTAGGTTTCGAATGTGCTCGAGGTATGTTTCGACTGTGCTCGATGTATGTTACAACTGTTCTCGAGGTAGGTTTCGAATGTGCTCGAGGTATGTTACAACTGAGCTCGAGGTAGGTTTCGAATGTGCTCGAGGTAGGTTTCGACTGCGCGCGGTATGTTACAACTGTGCTCGAGGTAGGTTTCGACAGTGCTCGAGGTCTCTTGCAACCGTGCTCGAGGTAGGTTTCGACTGTGCTCGAGGTATCTTTCAACCGTGCTCGAGGTATGTTTCGACTGTGCTCGACGTATGTTACAACTGTGCTCGAGGTAGGTTTCGACTGTGCTCGAGGTATCTCTCAACTGTGCTCGAGGTATGTTTCGACCGTGCTCGAGGCATGAATCAACTGAGCTCGAGGTGTTTTTCAACCGGCTCAAGGTATGTTTCAACCATACTCGAGGTATGTTTTGACCGTGCTCGATGTATCTTACAGCTGTGCTCGAGGTAGGTTTCGACTGCGCTCGAGGTATCTTTCAACCGTGCTCGAAGTTTATTTTGATTGTGCTCGAGGTATATTACAACTGAGCTCGAGTTATGTTACAACTGTGCTCGAGCTATGTTTCAACCGGCTCAAGGTATGTTTCAACCATACTCGAGGTATGTTTTGACCGTGCTCGAGGTATGTTTCGACCGTGCTCGAGGTATGTTTTGACCGTGCTCGAGGTATGTTTCGACCGTGCTCGAGGTATGTTTTGACCGTTCTCGACTATGTTTTAAGGTGATATAGTTAGAGGAGCAACATCATAACATATGGTTTGAACGAGGCTGGGTTTTTAATCATTATATACGGGAAATAAAATATTGAAAAAGCCTTCCAAAGCAAAAGTTTCCCCAATCAATTGGCTAAAAAACAGAGTCAACGTAAAAAGGATGGAAACGGCCTAATACTTATATATATATATATATTTATATATAGCAAGATACTTGATAAACATAGCAAGAAAGTATGAATTCAAAACGGAAATAGAGTGTTGATTCAATGTTTAAAACCACCTTTCTCGCATTCGTTGAGTACGGGGTCTGCTTGTTCTGGAATTCATTATTTATCATATTTCCTGCGAAGGAGAAGAATTTTTTTGTCTTACTGTTTGCGGAGCAGTTCCACTATTTTCTCTTTTTTTTCATTCCATCAGGGGCGGATCTAGAGTTTTCTCGGTGGGGGGGGGGGGGGGGGGTTATTTTCAAAAAAAGTTTCGAAAATTTCAATGACCACACTCACTATGAAGACCCTGTTCTTCTATAATTAAAAAAAATACAGGACAAAAATACCTTTTGGACATTATTTTAGAAGGGTTTGACCAGAAAATTTTTCTGGATGGGGTAAAATAGTATCAAAGGAGGAACCCTTTGGTTAGTGAAGGGGTCGAGTCCCTGATAAAGAGAGGCCTCCCCCAGCCCCCGGCCTCTCCCTTCAATCTGCCATTGAATATTCCATGTGAATATCTTTCTCGAGAAAAAGTTTTTGTTTAGTTTTAGTTGATTGAATGGGAAAATGGAGCTGTGATTTTGACAGCCCTTCTTCTCAACTCAATCTGTGTCGGGATATCGATTTAGGAGTTAAGAATAAGGGATTTTTCAGCAAAATTAACTTTGAGTATAGCCTAGATTTAACTACAAAAATAACAGCTCTAATAGAGAATTTGATTGGAAATAGAATAATTTAGGTTACCGATAGCATTCAAATGCAAACCCACAAAAATATAATAAAACTAATTTTGTTTATGCGTTGACTGCACTGTTTTTTGTACGGTTGATTGAACGGTTGCTCCGCAGGTGTATTACGGGTAACTAAAAAGTCTCATTTTGTAAAAAAAAAAACTTCTTGATTTCACGAAATTGCGAACTTGTAATATTGATAAATAGCCGTGATTTTTTGCGATTCGATGAGAATCTATGAAAGACTATTTTAAGCCTGTCTGAACACAGTCCATCACTGTTATTCTTGCAATTTTTGAAGAAAGAGACAGAACATTTTTGCTCGGGGTGATTTTTTTCTCACGAGAAATTTCGACGTTTTAACCAGCATTATTTGACAAATTTGCATTGTAACTTGCGAAAAGTTTTGTTATCCTGAGCTTGAAAGTAAACGATTATTTACCTGTAACCCTTTTTCCCAAAATTAGGAGGGTGTAAAAATTAACAAATTGGCCCATGTGGAGCAGTCAACACGCTACATAATTCATCCTATTAACACGAAAGCGGAAATTTAATCCGGACTAGAAGTCAATCCAAATTTAAAACTTTGCTTTATTTAAAAAAAAAACATCAATGTGTAATCTATATATAGCGTGTGTAATCTATGTGTAATCTATATTCAAAAAAATCTCATCTTTTTGGAGAGCTTCAGCCATTTTTAAAAAAACAAACACTGTTCTGTGGATCTTAAAAAGTTGTCGGAAAAGTCAGGACTTCGTTTGATACGAGCAGTCTTGTTCGCTTTTTTATTGTTTTTTTTTCTAAATTATGCTATACTTTTCGAAGTATAGGATTTTTGTTGCGACTTTCGAAATAGACGGAAAATTTATGCTCCGGTATTTTTTTCTCCAGACAAATTTCAATTATTTGGCGAATAATTTCTGCAGTTTTCAAATACTCTTTGAATTTTTTGTTTTTTGAGCACCATTTTTAGAAATCATACAATTCACCAGTGTTTTTGTTAACTTATGGGGATTTATAGATTGCGCGATATTTTTCGTGCTGTTTAATAGTAGATAGAGATTCAATTTTTAAACAAATTGAAATAAGCAGGCATGTCATTCGATCTAGTTAAAATTTTTTCATAAGCTAAATATATCACTTTGCACTGAGCATAGCGTGTGGGAAGTTGATTCGAAAAAAACTCAAAAAAAAATACCTTTTTAATGTATTTTTAAAATTTTTTCGCCAGTTTTTTTTTTTAGAAAAAACACTGCTCCATAGACCATAAAAGGCAGTCAAAATAATCAAGCTTTTGCCCTGAAACGGGCAGTCGAGTTGCTTTTACTATTGAGTGGGTTTCTTGTGGTGATGAAAATTTTAAAACTCAGAAATATTTCAGTGTGGAAAGTATGCACTCTTTGATGAGCTCTTTGTAGATCTAATACCAAATGAAAAATACGCTGTATAAAGAAACATGCACCGTTTTCATGTCTTTGTTTTTCAAACGAAGGCTTTCGGATTTAGATTTTCTTAACATTTGTAAATCTCTGTAAATTTCGTCCCCAGCGTGGCCTCATAATCATTCTAAACTAGAGCCAATAATGTAGATAGAAAACATTATGTGGAAGCTGATGAGCACACTATGCCAATCAACTTCAAACCCCATGTCATAGCCTACAATTAATTTGACTAGAAAGCAAATTTTCATCTTTCCTCCGAGAACTTTGGGGCGAGGATCTTGATGTGATCTCAGTTTTTATTTAGTCTTGAAAGAACCAGGGTTGTTGGTATGTATACCTGTGCCGTCTTCTATTGATGAGTTGAGTCTGAGAATGTTGTCGCACTCGTAGTACCTCATCATTGTCTCGACTGACCCATTCAAACACTGACAGTGCTCACTCACTAAGAAGGGTGTGACAGCCAGGTTTATGGAGTCATTGGCCACGGCTTGCATGATGAACCCAGTGAAGATTATCACTAAAAATAACATAGAGATGTGCTACCCGGAAAAGCATGTACTACCTACAATAATATACTACAAAAAAGTTTTAAAAAATAGCTTTTTTTGAAATGAAATTTTTGACTGCTAAAAATAACTGCCTACTTTTGCATGTTAATTCTACTGACCAATTCCATGAATGGCTACCCGTTATGATCCAATTTTTTTTTAAAAAAAATTTGGACCACATCACGTAACCCCCTCATGGAATTGGTCAACAGAACTAACTCGAAAAAAATAGCGTTATTTTTGCAATATTTTTCATTTCAGAAAGTGTTGTGAGTTTTATATTTTTGCTTTCTCTTGACAAACGTGATAATAATATGAAGAAAAACATGGAGCTCTGAAAAACTTGATTGTAGGCCACTAGTATAAAACTCTATTTCACAATCACCTCATTGTCAGACTCAAAATCCATCGAAAGTTTTAGTACAAGTAACAAATTTGTCTGAATTATTCGCTTCGCAGTTAACGTAGCGTACCTGAATATCCAACCCAACTCGTCCGTAAGCCTTCAGTAAAAAAGATGATCAAACTCGTAGACGGTGCTAATTGACTCATAGTTTTTTAACCGGACTTTTGCGAGGACGGTAAACATGAAACTTGATTATCCATATCAGAATTGGGCAAGATTGGTAGATTTGCACTGTCTGTGCTTGAGATGAAATATATGAAAGCGGATGTTGATATAATAAAAACTTTACCTGAGCTTTCGTGGAATCCATTTGTGTTGCTGTAGAAATTAATGGAGGAGACAGGGTTATCTGTAGTTCTGATGAAACTTCTGATCTGCTGGACAATGGTGAAAACCAGAAGCAGGAAAAAAGCCAGACTGCAGACAATAATTGCCTTGTAACAGCTCATAGCTCAAGGAATTCTTGAATGGTATCTCCTTCTATGACACTATTTTTCAGTCCTAAATTAGCAAGTAGTAACTTAACGAGACTGCTCGTATCATGGCGAAGCCCTGAATGTTTCGACTGCCTTTCAAGGTTTATGAAGCAGTAGGAACATAAAAAAATTAATGTAATATAATGTAATGAAAAAATTTTTTTCTAAAATTTGAAATTTTTATATGAAATCATCCCCCCACACGCCATTTAAAGTACCAAAGAGCAGATTTCGCTCATTGGAACAAATCAATTATGGCAAATGAGCTTCTTTAAAACAATTTGGAACGATTTTTAAGACGGATTAAACCTCCGCTTACGCGTTAATAGCGCGAAACATATCGCGCGTTAATTGTCCCCAATTGGCCAAAATGGCAATCTTTAAACCCCCGTAACTTTACGAAAAATGATCACAGGTGAAAAATCTTTTCAAATTTAAGCTCAAGACAACAATACCTTTTGAATGATATAAAAAAATTCCGTCAAAAATGGCTAGTTAAAAAGTCGAAATTTGTCTGAAGAAAAAAAACCCACCCCGAGCACAAATATTCCGTTACTTTCGTATCGAAAGTCGGAACATTTACATTTTTTATTTTAAGATTGCCAAATTCATCCCCCCATCCCCCCCCCCCTCTCACACGCCATATAAAGTACAAAGTCATAGATTTCGTTCCTAGTAACAAATCAATTATGGCAAATAATCTTCTTTCAACCAATTTGGAACAATTGCTAAGACGGATTAACTCTCCGCTTACGCGTTAATAGCGCGAAATATATTGCGCGTAAATTGTCCCAAATTGGCCAAAATGGCAATCTTTAAACCCCCGTAATTTTATGAAAAATGATCACAGGTGAAAAATCTTTTCAAATTTAAGCTCAGGACAACAATACCTTTTGAATGATATAAAAAAATTTCGTCAAAAATGGCTAGTTAAAAAATCGAAATTTGTCTGAAGAAAAAAAACCCACCCCGAGCACAAATATTCCGTTACTTTCGTATCGAAAGTCGGAACAATTACATTTTTTATTTTAAGATTGCGAAATTCATCCCCCATCCCCCCCCCCCCCTCACACGCCATATAAAGTACAAAGTCATAGTTTTCGTTCCTAGTAACAAATCAATTATGGCAAATAAGCTTTCTTCAACCAATTTGGAACAATTGCTAAGACGGATTAACTCTCCGCTTACGCGTTAATAGCGCGAAATATATCGCGCGTTAATTGTCCCAAGTTGGCCAAAATGGCAATCTTTAAACCCTTATAAATTTACGAAAACTGATGACAGGTGAACATTTTTTTTCAATTTCAAGCTCAGGACAACAATACTTTTTGAATGACATAAAAAAAATCAGAAAAAAACCACCCCGGGAACAAATATTCTGTTACTTTCCTTACGAAAATCGGAACAATAATACTTAAAAATTGAAGTGATGCACTTAGATGTAATCTGTGAAAATATTCAATTGTAGAACATCCTCTGTCTTGAGACCACTTTTTAAATGTCGCTCAAAACCATCTGCCTTGATAAAACTCTATCAAAAGTTGATGAACTTGGACCACTCAAGAATTTTTATTCATTTTTTGGCGCTTCTGTCACTTGAGAATTAGCAAGAGGGAGATTTTCTGTTTATAAAAATAGCAATTGTTCATGATAAGGTCCACCAAAGTTGCAATAAACAAAAATGCGATTCCAGAAGCGCATCTTTCAAAAATACTAAAAAAAGATTGGTGGTAAATGATGCGGAAATCGATTAAACAGAATGGCGCCAAAACATAGCAAAAACTTTAAGGATCAAATAGTTTTTCATCTTCATGGATAAAAGTAGCAGCAATATAATAACCAATCAAGCGAAGCGATTAACGCAAAAAGTTGTGACGAAATCAAAACTAACTATATGATTGTATAGAGAGCTATGCAATTCTTTTTATCGTCTGTCTTTATGACAGAAGCGGCCGGTTTTTGAGGGAACTCTTACTTTTATAAAAGTTCGCAGTTTATCAAAACCTTAATGTATCACCAGGAGAATTTGTTATCTTCAAAATTCAAAATTAGCTGAAAAGTAGCAGGAAACCATTTTAGCAATATTAACAAAAAATCATTTTTGTAATTAATTTTTCAATAGTGGTCATTTTAAATTTTGCCAGATGCTTCTTTTTGCTTACAATGCAATCCATTCACCACCAAAGTGTTCACCACCAAAAACTTTACAAGCGTAAGATAACTGATTCATATCTTTGCTGCTGGTTTGGTGGCAATTGAAAACTCGAGAACTTTCTATGATGTAAGAAATCGGGCGGATTTAGCAAGGGGGTGGATGATGGCAAACGTTCCTTTCCTCAGGGTTTCCGCCCCTCGCCACCCAAAGGGTCCTCCTTGGTACTACTTTACAGCATCTATTTTCGTTTTACCAGCCCTAAAAAAATTCTAAATTCGTCTTTGGCGCCAATTTTTTTAAGATCATTTATCCACGAGGGATAGGACCAACATACGAGCTGTACAGCTCATCACGGCGAACCGCTGTTGTGCCCCTGTTTAAGAACCACATGCAATTTTTTTTTTGGTTGAACTACATGCAATTTATTCGTATTTTAAAGGGTAGCGCGTGCTGCAAAAACGCAAATTTTTTGTCAAAACTTTCCAAAAAGTGTACAAAAGTTGTCTGCGGCGCAGAAAGTTTTGTTAAGATAGGATCTGCATAGTCTTCTGGGAGCGCTATCAATTTGGTCGATCTAGAAAAAAGATAAACGTTCGTCAAAGATTTTTAAAAATCCCCCCTCCCTCAAGAGGAAATCCAGGATCCGCACTTGAAGTTGCCGAAGTTTTATTTTGTGACATCCAAAAGCTTTGAATGAAGTTCAAGAGCTTTCCCAAGCAACTCGAAAGTTTACAGCAGAATTTTTGAAAACAAATGAAAAAATTTTAATGAATGGCGGAAGATCTTCGCATTTTCTCTTTTTTTTCCTACTTTGATGCCATCGGTTCACAGCAAAAAAATAATAATTCACCTGCTATGGTTTTTTGTTTGAGTCTGAAGGTTTGAAACTTCCATTATGGCCCAATTGGAATTTTTAAGTGGAAATAGTTTTCCTTTTAACGCACGAATCGCCGAATTATTCCGTACTCAAAATATTCTTTCCAAAATAAATGCGACAAACTAATGGTCCATCCATTTATAGCAGTGTCCTGTGGATGACTACCACAGGCAGGGGCGGATTTAGGGGGGGGCAGGGGGGGGGGCGGACGCCCTTACCTCAGGGATTCGAACCCCTGCCAACCCAAAGGGTCCCCCCTTTGGTACTTTTTAAGAAATCCATTTTTGGCCGACCGACCCTAAAATTTTTCTAAAGGCGCCTTTGGCGCCAATATATACTAAATTTGAGGGGGAGCGCGCGCCAAAAAAACGCGTTTTTTTTTGTCAAAGTTTTCCAAAAAGTGCACAAAACGGCTTTTTTGACCTGTTTTTTCAAAAAATTACCTGCGGCGCAGAAAATTTGGCCAAAACAGGGTCTTTTTACTGCTTTGGGAGAGCTCGGAAAATCAATCTGATGGACCTAAAAAAAGAAAGGTCGTCAAAATTGTCGAAAATTTTTTAAAAATCCGCCCCCCCCCTCGAGAAAATCCTAGATCCGCCCCTGACCACAGGGTAGCAAATGGGGGAGGGGGGGGGGGTGATGCCTCTAATTTTTTTTCTTCTCTATCTTTTTTTAAAGCTGGTGGAACCTGATCTAAACTACATTTTATGATTGGATAAATTAAATGTTTTACCAATGTAAAGTATTTAATATTAACCAATCATGATCCATCTAACTAACAACCCACTTATTTGTAAGTGCTGAAGTTACTTGTAATTTCAGCACCAGAGAGATTTGAATTTAACTTAGGAATTAGTTGGACTCTCCCGAGCACTTCAGCAGCCGCAATAAACCAGTATACCCTAGATCTATTGAGCCTAGCAGAGACTAGTTAAACAACCTGAGACTAGATAGTATAAGAGTAAGATTAGGATCGGTATTAGACTAAGAAGTTGCACGAATCTATCCGGCCGAAAATAAGATAGCGTGACGAGCAGACGGTGTACCCTATCCGAAATTACTCTATGAGTTATACACTCCAGTCCTAACTCATCTGGTGCGACCATAAGTCTCGAACAAGACCTTACTAGATTAGAATTAACCAAAATTAGATTAGAAATTAGACAAAAACATTTACAAAATGTTATACGACAATAATTTAATTGAAATGTCTCTCCGACTCAATAGATCAGAGCCAATATTCCGAACCATAACAGAACTACCCGGAATTGGAAGAAGACCTCGAACCAAAGACGACATACGACAAAATAGAAACTTGCCGTATAGTTATATGATAGTTCGGCAAAAGCCAGAACAAACTTTTATATTTCGAATACTACTTGCAATGAATTTAGATTTCCATTTGCAAACATAAAACCTTGAAGTTAATCTTCAAAATCATTTCAGGCGCTAAAAAAAATTAATATTATACAATAACGATTGATAAAAAGATCTAAGATCGTTTTCCTAAAACTCTGCAGTATTATACAAAACATGTTTGAAAAATATTTATTGGAAAATAAAAATAAAAATTAGTAGCATGACAATAAATGGTTAGTAATCATAAATCATCCTGTTGTTCCAGCTTCATCACCTAAAACATAACAGCAATCATCAACTCACTAACATCATAAAACACTAAATCTTTCCTTTACACACATTTAAAACCTTATTAAAACTTAAAGTCACTTAATTTAAAATCAGATCATCAAGGCTTATCCTTGGATCTTAAATCATTTTCTACTTAATTAAATTTCAAACTTGATCATCAAGGCTTATCCTTGGATCAAACAGAACAACTTTGTTCTCCCCCACCCACTTAATTAGTGTCTAACGACCTCAAACGTCGATTCACTATCCAACCCTTTCTAAAAACCCAGGACTAATAGAAATTTTTAAACAAAACTAATCATTCAAATTAGGATAAACAGTGAAGAACTTCGGTTATTCATCC